ATATATATGTGTGTGTGTGTGTATGGCTGGCTGGGTAGCTAGATGGGTGGGGGGGTATACAGGGAAATCAAGAAGGGGTTAGCTAGCTAGCGAGACACAAAAGAAGCACAGATAGCTAGCTAGCTAGCTAGCTAGCTAGCTAGATATATAGATATATAGATAAATATATAGATGGATAAGTAGATTGATAGATAGATAGATTGATAGATAGATTGATAGATTGATAGATACCTAGCTAGCTAGCTAGCTAGCTAGCTAGCTAGCTAGCTAGCTAGCTCTATGTATACACCAGCTAGCCAGAGGGTGAGAGCTAGCTAAGCGTGGGGTGTATGTGTGCGAAAACAAAGAAGAAGCAGAGAAGAACCAAAGACTTAAAAAAGAACAAAAAAAAATAAAAAAATAAAAAAAAATAAAAAAAAAATAAATATTTTTGTGTGTGTTGGGGTGTATACGCAGCTCGATTTCTTTCATCACCTAGAAATGGTTATGCGTACAGAAGCACCCCCCCTTGCGGGGAGAGATCACCTTATGTTTCGCTCCTATTATCATCCTCTTAAGGTTTGTTTTATTTATTTATTTTGTTTTTTTATTTATTTATTTATTTATTTTATTTATTTTATTTATTTTCTGCGTTGAACGGTGTTTTTATCGTCGATAGAACCCTATATATGATGCGGGCAGAGTGTTTCGCTCATATTATCACCCTCTTAAGGTTTATTTTATTTATTTTATTTATTTATTTTATTTATTTATTTTATTTATTTTATTTATTTTATTTATTTATTTTATTTATTTTATTTATTTTATTTATTTTCTGCGTTGAACGGTGTTTTTATCGGTGATAGAACCCTATATATGATCTCTATGTTTCGCTCCTATTATCATCCTCTTAAGGTTTGTTTTATTTATTTTATTTATTTATTTATTTATTTTATTTATTTATTTTATTTTATTTTCTTTATTTATTTTATTTTGTTTTATTTATTTATTTATTTTGTTTATTTTGTTTATTTTATTTATTTGTTTATTTTATTTATTAAATAAATAATTTATAATTTATTTGTTCTTTTAGCTGTGCATACACCGCAAAAGATGTATCTCTACTCAGATGATATTTCACTCAATAAAATAAAATAAAATAAAATAAAATAAAATAAAATAAAATATAAATTATTTATTTAATAAATAAACTAAATAAATAAAATAAAATAAAATAAAATAAAACAAAACTAAAACCAAACCAAACCAAACCAAACCAAAACAAAAAACAAAAACCTAAACAAAAAAACAAAACAAACCCCTAAACAAAACCCTAAATAAAAAACAAAATAAAAAACAAAATAAAAAACAAAATAAAAAAAATATTTATGTGTATGTATACAGAACGTAGTGGATGGCGATCTATGCGAGATGTTCTCTTCTTTGCCTGCTGCAACACAAACCAGGATAGCTCAGGATTTTGAGAAAACACCAGCAGATATATTAAAAAGACTAGAAGATATAAGGAGCAGAGTTTTATAAATAAATAAATAAATAAATAAATAAATAAATTATTTATTTATTTATTTATTTAGTTTATTAGGATTATAAACAGAAACAAAAAAGAAAAAAAGAAAAAAAAAGAAAAAAAAAGAAAAAAAAAATATTTTGTTTCTGTGGATTTTGAGAAAACACCAGCAGATATATTAAAAAGACTAGAAGATATAAGGAGCAGAGTTTTATAATTTATTTATTTATTTATTTATTTATTTATTTATTTATTTATTTAGTTTATTGGGGTTATAAACAGAAACAAAAAAGAAAAAAAAAAGAAAAAAAAAGAAAAAAAAAAAATTTTGTTTCTGTGGATTTGGGGAGACATCAGCAGATATATTAAAAAGACTAGAAGATATAAGGAGCAGAGTTTTATAAATAAATAAATAAATAAATAAATAAATAAATAAATAAATAAATAAATAAATAAATTAAATAAATTATTTATTTATTTATTTATTTAGTTTATTGGGATTATAAACAGAAACAAAAAAAAAAACAAAAAAATTTTTGTTTCTGTGCGTTTTGAGGAGACAGCAGCAGGAGACAGCAGCAGCAGCAGCAGCAGCAGCAGCAGCAGCAGCAGCAGCAGCAGCAGAGTATTTAATGTATTAAAATTATTTTATTATATTATAAGTATTATTATAATTATTATTATAAAGATGTAATAGAAAGAAAAAGAAAAAAAAAGAAAAAAAAAAGAAAAAAAGAGACAAAGAAAAACAGATAGCAAGGAGATATTGCTTCATATTAATATATTATATATATTATATTATATTATATATTATAATATAATAATATATATTATAATATTATATTATATTATATATTATATAATATTATAATATATAATATATTATATAATATAATATAATTTGTTCTTTTTGTCTTTTTCTTTTTCTTTTTATTTCTCTTTCATCTTATTATTATTTCTTTTTCTTTTTCTTTTTTCTTTTTCTTTTTCTTTTTCTTTTTTCTTTTTCTCTTTATTATTATTTATTATATTATTTATTTATTATTTATTATTGTTGCTTGACCTAGAGGTGGTGGGGTTGTTGTTATTGGCGGTGGTGGTGCCTCAACACCACGTTGTTGCTGCAGCAGCAGCAGCAGCAGCAGCAGCAGCAGCAGCAGCAGCAGCAGCAGCAGCAACAGCAGCAGCAGCAACGGGTGTTATTGTAATGAGATAGGGAAAGGCAAGGGATAGAGAAAAGAAAGAAGAAAATAAAAAAATAAAACAAAAAAGTAAAATAAATAAAAATAAATAAAATAAATAAAATAAATAAAAACAAATAAATATAAATATAAATATAAAGAGAGAAAAAAATATTATAAGCAGCAGCAACAACACTTGCTGCTGCATCTACAAATAACAACAACCCCACCACCACCAACACACACGCGGGAGGCGCAGAGCCAACACTGCATGCATCCATGCATGCATGCAAACAGAGGGGGCTGCATGCATGCATGCATGCATGCAGACAGCCGGGCTGCATGCAT